AAGGGTATGTGTTCATTGGTGAATTAGAAGATGGAAGTATTACTGATATTGAATCATGAGATGTCACATTTCTAGAAAATAATTTTCCAAAGAAGAGCGAGGTAAAAAATGGAGAGCCTCTTTATGAAATATTGAACTCAGATAGTCAGCAAGTGTCTTCTGACATAATTAATAATCAAATCGATCAAGATCTTGTTCTTGATCTAAGTGGGAGTGGGAGTTCTCAATCCCAAAATTCTTCTGACGAATTTGAATTTTAACTACAAAAGAGCACTAGGAAAAATATACCAAAATATACTTATGAGATTAAAGATTACGTTTTCTTGGTATCTCCCACAGAAATGGATGAGCCAAAGTCTGTGACTGAGGCTTTATCGAGCTCTGGAAAAGATGAGTGGATGAAAGCAATGAAAGAAGAACTAGAATCCATGAAAATCAAAAAAGTATGGGATCTAGTTGATCTTCCGCCTGGGCGTAGATCCATTGGGAACAAATAGGTTCTTAAAGTTAAACTCAAAGTGGATGGGTCAATAGAAAGATACAAGGCTCGATTGGTGGCAAAAGGCTTTACTCAAGAAACTGGAATAGATTATGAGAAAATATTTTTACCAGTTGTGAAATTTATCTCAATTTGCTTACTTTTGGCTATTGTTACACGTTTGGATTTGGAATTACATCAAATGGACGTGAACACGACTTTTCTCAATAAAGAACTAAATGAAGAAATCTACATGGAACAACTTGTAGGCTTTATCATTAAAGGCCATGAAAAGAAGGTCTGTAAATTGAAAAGATCTATTTGTGATCTGAATTAATCTTCAAGGCAATGGTATTTGAGATTTCACAAGGCACTGATCTCGTATGATTTCACCATAATCAGTGAAGACAATTGCATTTATGTAAAAAGTCCAATGGGGTTTTTGTAATTCTTTCTCTTTACGTGGATGATATTTTATTGGCTGGAAATAATTTGGAGTATTTGAAAACTATCAATTCATGGATTTTAAAGTCATTTAACATAAAAGATATGGGTGAGGCAGACTATATACTTGGAGTTAAGATCCAAAGAGACCGTTCCAAAAGGTTATTGAGTCTATCTCAAGAAACTTATATAAAGAAAAGTTTGGAGCATTTTCACATGAATAGTTGCAAATCCATGGATACTCCTATAGCGAGAGGTGAAACTTTAAGCCTTGAAATGTGTCCCAAGACTGAAAATGAAAAGGAAGACATATCTCGAGTTCCGTATTCAAGTGTTGTCAGGAGCTTGATCTACGATATGATGTGTACTCGCCTAGACATTTGTTATGATGTAGTTCTGGTTAGAAGGTATCAATCCAATCCTGGAAGAGATCATTGGAAAGCTGTGAAGAGAATTTTCAGATACCTAAAGGGAACTGAAGATTATTCACTACGTTATAGTGAAAATGATTTATACTAGAGAGGATATACAAATGCTGATTGGGCTGGTGACTGGAATGATAGAAAATTAACATCCGGTTATGCCTTCTTACTTAATGTGTGGTGCTATATCATGGAAAAGTAAGAAATAAACCTATACAACCCTTTCAACGATGGAAGCTGAGTTTGTGCCTTGTGCGTCTGCAGTACAAGAAATTGTTTGGTTGAAGAGATTCTTTGAGCATTTGGATATTAAAAAGAACTCTCAGGGTCCCATGACTCTATATTGTGATAGTCAAATGGCTATTACATACACAAAAGATCCTAAGTATCATACCAAGACCAAACATATTGACATCAAGTATAACTTTGTGAGAGACATGGTAAAAAGTGGAGAGATAAATTTATAGTACATTCCTACGCGAAGCATGATAGCTGAACCTTTTACAAAGGCGANTATATATATACATATTGTAAAATGACTTGACTATTATAATATGCTCATCGATATGTGACTCTTGAATTTATGCTTATATCTTGTATGCATGTGATGATGTTTTGTTGATAAGGAATGTGTCGAACAAGTCACGAGATTGGCTCTCTCACACGAGCAATCACCTCTTACATTAAAAATCATGAAGAGATGAGACCTTATAGAACCTTGGATAATGCGAGATTATATTTACTTATTAAGGTCAGTCTTGACAACTAGTCAGGCTTACGAATTTTAATATTTGATTATGAGTTGTTTTGTAAGCCAGATACGAGTTTTCCCAAAAGGTTGGATTTGAGGATTAGTAAAGTCAGAAACTCAAGTTAGACATTTGCAGGTGTCTAGACCAAGAATTGTATGGTGTTGAATGATTAAAAGAATAAAACACACGTGCCAATATAAGGTGAGAACATTGTAACATGTGTTTCATACCACGTGTGCTATCGGCCATGGGATAATGGAAGAATGAATCCCTGCTTCTTCATTGTGTGAGATCCTAAAGAAGTTATATTAACTTTTATTGAAATACTCTTTGACCTTTTACTGTCTCTTGAAGTGCCAATCAGTATTGCTACTTTAGCATGTCACTAATAGCCATGAGTGATTCGGCAATGCAATGCATGTCTAGGAAAGCAGTTGATTTGGAATGGAAAGATTCAAGTAGAAAGGGAAGAGAACTATTTTTTTTTTTTTTTTTAGAAATTTAACTTGTATTCATAGGCCGACCAATACATTTACCATGAGGGTATCAAATGTAATTATGAATACAAAGTTATTCACGAACATGAGTTCACCTTTTTTCGAGGATGAGGGATTAGATAACATGCTATAGGAGTAGCGGATGATGTCTGGGGTATTACGAGTAATAAGATCCCCATGCTAGTAGTGAATCCTTTTCGTATGTTATTGGATTTCTACATAGAGCTTTAGTACAACCTTTAATTTGTTTGGGAATGCTACAGCTCTTTGTGCTCACAGGTCGCACCAACTATTTTGCCGGTATGAATTGTGTGTTAAAACATCGGTCTAGCCCACTATGGGCGAAGTGGGAGTTGTTGGATTATGGGTCGTGGGTCGCTCCATGTGAGCTGACTCGACCCGGTTAGGAGAGATAAGTGAGAGGGGTTAAGAGAAGTTACTAATGAATCACAAACTCCCACTAAAGTAAACGTGCAAAAAAGGGAGTGGTGGGTTATCTTCCTTAACCGCTATTACTCTACCTATTTATGTTAAAGAGAAAACACAGAACTTTTTTAAGCGTAGGAATTTTCTTTCTGACTAATTCTCTCCACACGAAAAACACACACAAGTTAGGTAAATTAATTGGTGAAAGATTAACTTTATTTCCTAGTGATTCAAAGTAGATTTGGTAGCAATTACAACAATTTCCGCTGCGCGTAACAAGGTACACATAATTTATTGTTCTTGCTCCGTAATTTAAATTAACAAAACCAATACGAGATAATGTAAATAATGAGTAAACTAATAAAATAGCAAAATAAAATTGAAGAGAATCTTATTGATCAGAATAACTCCTTTCTCGTATCTTTAAGGTTGTGTTTCCAAAAATACTACGCAATGATTTAGGGAATGAAAGAATAATTTTCAGATGGGGAACAATTAAAGAGAAAGATGGGTTTAAATAGCAAATTTAGTCGTAATTGTTCCTAATACTACGTTTGCATGTTACAACCATTAATTATATTCTCTGCCCGTTGCGTTGAGAATCTGTAATTGATCGGAAATTTATACCTAAGTCCGCTTTAATCCTACTAATTTTATAATTTTCTTTCTTTTTAAATAATTTTAATGTAATTTTTTATTTATATATTTATTTTGTTAATTTATAAAATTGTTTATCCTCAAAATCGGATAACAATTGAATTTGTTAGTGGTTTAAAGGATATGCAGATTAATTTGATATTGAACGATAAATTAAATAGCAATTGAAAAAAATAACGATAAACTAACTGCAAACCACGCGAATTGGATAATTTCAGCCTAGGAAAGTTGGCAACCCTCGAGCTAAAAATACTTTTATTGTCAACAAGACAACAAAGAATAAGAACTAGAAGAGTAATGGTAATGTATTGCTTATGAGTGTATGTTATAATGTCCTTCATGAGTTGTGAGGCCCCATTTATATATAAGAGGAACCTACTTTTAAGTTATTATTCTATTATTCCATAAAAGGTAAAAAAAAAAGTCATTGATTTGTTGACCGTTGGTCCCTTTTTTGGTATGTTCCGTGATTTTCGCCGTAATGTACGGTTAGTTACGGAAATTTCGGACCCTTGTCGGGCAACCTGGCAATATGTTCCTTGAGACCGTTATAACCGGGACCGGTTAAGACCTCGGTAAACTCGAAGGCAAATCTGGTGGTTCCGGTGACTAATCCGGTAAGACAGGAACCAATCTCCAGAATTTTATCACATCTCTTGATCCCAAACTGTCGTGCTGGATGCTCGGTCAAATCTCGAGTTCGATTTTACCCGTATACAAAAAATATTAAAAATTAAAGTGCCTTAGGCTTTCGCCTCGCCCGTGTTAGATAAAACACTTCGCCTCTCGCCCACGCCTTTTAAAACATGGTTTTCGACTCTCTCTCTCTCTCCATTCCATTTCCGTCATTCGTCGTTCTCCTTGTAAATATTCTTTCTAATTTTTTTATTTTTGTAAGTAACTGTAAGGATATTAAGCCATTATAACAAAAACTATATATTTTATCAAATACTTTTTTATTAACCACATCAACTACTTATTATAAGGTTTAATCATTCTGTCCAGCATGTGACTGCTTTTTTATTAAAGCAAATTTCGACACTAAAAATATATTTCAGCACTTAATAATTATCAACTATTTTTAATTAGCTAATCCAAACGGGCTCATAAATTAACCCTGAGCGGATTTTAAAATTATAATCACGTGAAGCCACTAATATTTTTTCAGTTGATTGTTTGCTCATATGGGGGGGTATGTGAGGGGACAGATAAACCCAATTTACAGAAGTTGGAGCCATTTTCACTCAATTATACTCGAATGCTGAGATAGAATGAGAAAAGTAAAGGGTGTAAACATAAAGGTCACACAATGAGAGACATAAGATAGAAGAACAGAGGATGACTAAGGAAACTGCTGAACTGCTATGGAGATCATGCACATTTGTTCATTCAGTATAAATGAAGCAAATGAAAGAACCAGAAAGCAAAAGACTACTATGGTACATGTCAGAAGAAGTATGAACTCTTGCCCAGTTTAAATCTAATTCCGTTTTCAAATGTGGTCAAATGAACTTTAATCAATGGCCCAACGCAAATATGATATTTATCCTGACCTGAAGTGTCGATATAGTGCTCGAGCTAAGCTATATTCAATGTGGTTAATAGTGATTTAATCAGAATTAACAGACTTACGCTGTTGTTGAAGGTTAATTTGAGGAACATAACCCTCATTTTGCAGCTCCATTAGAAGATTATCTAATAAAAGATATATCTGAGCAGACTGTGGGTGACTGGTGTCTGCAGCACCAAAAATATGAGTGCTATTGTTAACTTCAGTCCAGCTGTAACCAGGTATTTTCTGCACTCCTCTTTCCTTCATCATATGACGAATTTTAGACACCATATCCCATTTACCCGCATTAGCATGTAGATTTGCTTGTAATATGTAGTAGCCAGAATTTTGCGGGTCCAAGCCTAACAGATGCTCAGAAGCCATTTCAGCAAGCTCAGTATTGCCATGTAAGCGACAAGCCCCAAGCAACGTTCCCCAAATTCCTGCATCTGGAGCAATCGGCATACTCTTAATCACTCCAAATGCTTCTTCCACAAGGCCAGCTCTCCCAAACAAGTCAACCATGCATGCATAATGCTCCATTCGGGGCGTAATCCCATATTCTTGAGTCATGCAATTGAAGTAGTACTTTCCTTCTTCAACTCGACCAGAATGGCCACAAGCTGATATGATCGCAAGAAATGTGACATGGTCAGGCTGGAATCCATCTTTTCGCATCCCATGAAACAAATCCAGACAGTCCTTAAGTCGGCCATGATTTCCATAAGCTGCAATAATACTATTCCATGATACTTCATTCTTGTTCGCCATCAAGTCAAAAACACGCCAAGCTACCTCTAAGTTCCCACATTTAGCATACATATCTATTAATGCACTTCCCACAAAAACATCAGAGCTAAATGCACTTTTCATAATGAAGCCATGGATCTCTTTCCCATAATGGAGAGCTGGCAAATTTGCACATGCAGAAAGAGCACTGGATATGCTGACACAATCATATTTGGCTCCATCTGCACCCATTTGGTGGAAAAAGTCAATGGCCAATTCCGGCTCAGCGTTCTGGCAACAGCTTGTGATCATTGAGTTCCAACAAACAACATCTCTTTCAGACATCCTTCTGAATACTTGTTGAGCAAGATCCAATCTTCCACACTTTGCATACATGTCCATCACTGCACTTCCCACATAAAGTATTCCTTGGAAACCACGTTTAGCAATGACACCATGCAGTTCCTTACCTAATCTCAGAGCAGCCAAATTAGCACAAGCTGGTAAAGTACTTGCTAGAGTAACAGGATTGGGCCTCATTTTCTTAATAAGTAACCATCGGAAAACATCCAGGGCATCAAAACTCATGCCATTAAGAACAAATCCTGAAATCATAGCAGTGCATATAACAACATCCACCGCAGGGCTGAAGTTAAATATGTTGCGTGCTGCCTCAACATTCCCACATTTGAAGTACATATCAATTATCGCATTCTTTAAGAAAACATCCACAGATACATCATGTCTCATGATGTAACCATGAATTGCCTTCCCCTGGTATAGATTTTCTGAAATTGAAACTGAGGGGAGCAAACTGGCAAAGGTGATAGAGTCTGGTTTGACACTGGTAGCTACCATTTCATGAAATAATTCCAGTGCCTCATCCATATACCCATTTTGCACGTGCCCTCCAATCATCCCATTCCAAGTCACGCGGTCTGCTTGTGGCACTAAATCGAACAACTTTCGTGCGTGAAACAAGGAACAGAATTTAGAATACATCGTGATCAACGTATTGGCTACTGGAGAATCCATTTCCAACCCACACCTAACAACAAGCCCATGAAGCTGACAACCAAATTTAACCATTGTTTCCGAGGCGCAAACCGAAAGAACACAAGCATATGTTACTGAATTAGGCTTAGTTTCACTTTTCCTCATCTCCCTAAATAACCCAACCACATCATTCACTGATTGCTCATCTTTAGCATAGCCATTAATCATCACATTCCACAAGACACTATCCCTTTGAGACATTTTATCGAACAAAAGACGAGCATCGGCCAAACAACCATTCTCAGCGTAGAACTTAATAAAAGCACTGCCCACAAACACATCATCCTCAAAACCTAAACTTTGTACCATCCCATGTAGCCATTTACCTAATTTCACAGAATTTATACCAGCACAAGCCTTAACCACATAAGGAAAAGTGTATTTATCAGGATTAGTACCAAAAACCAACATTTTAAAGAACAACAAGATTGCAAGATTAAAACAACCCATTATTGTATAGCCTCTAATCATCCAATTCCAAGGGGAAGCATAACACAACTGCAGCTGAAAAAACAAGTTCTTGGCATCAGTAAACCTGTTACACAAAACATACATGCCCAAGATCCTTGTACCAAGAATACCCAAGTTGTCGATTCCATTTACAGTGACTTGGGCATGAATCTGCTTTCCTTTTTGAATAACAGAGCCAATATTATTTTCTGTAAGAGAAGTGCAGGATTGTAGAATTGGAGCAAGTTTTGATGCTAAAACCTCTTCTGTGTAGTGAAAAATGGAGTCTTGGATGAAATGGGAAGTGGATTTCGAGGAAAGTGCATCAGCGACTGAAATGCTTCTATAGATTGAACAGATATTCCTTCTTTGAAACAACATTTAACTTCTTACGATGTTCACTGCTTTTCTTTGTCCATTTTCCTATTATATCCAGGACGAGCTATGCACACCCAGGCTTACAAAGTCGAAACACTTTTAACGTTCACTCTTATTTTTCTTTATTTTTATCTCACAACACTATTGGCTGTTTTTTTTTTTCAAATCTTTTTTTTAATATGATTAGTTTTTGAAAACAATTCCCCAAAACGGGTTTAGTTGATATCCCACTCACAATTAAATTGCATGTCCAAATAAAACTTCAATTTCTAATAATTATTTTTCAACACAACTTCAAAAACTTTTTTTTTAAGTTGTAACTAAATTTATGTTCAAGCGCTAGTTGCAAATAACTTGTATACGGTCGAGATCGAGTACGCCTACGACATGAAAGAACATGCTGGGAACATCACAATGCAAGACTGAAGATCGGCCCCGAGTCACACCGGACTAGAACCCGGAGTCAGGACACTTGCCTTCGAGAACATTTAGTCCGAGACCCCGGAGTTGATCCTAGCCCCGAACGAGTTCGGAGAAACATTGTTAGCATAACCAACGGAAGATCGAAATATCCGTAACCGGACAGATGTTGCGGCGGGAATCTCGGCGCGTATCAGTGATGAACCGGCAATCAACAAATCAAGGGATTTTTACCTTTTATAGAATTGTACCTAAAGTAGGATTCATCTACTATATAAAGAGGGTATGATAATTCATTGAACACATTGTAATACGTATTCCAAAACAATACATCATTATTATTTCTCTTTAAGCTCTTGTTCTTCTGTGTCCTGACACCGATCCAAGCGTACCTGACTCGAGGGTGATTAACCTTCCAAGGTTAAGACTGTTCAATTCGTATGGTTTGCATTTACTTTACCATTATTTATTTCAATTACAATTTAGTTAATCCTTTTGTGTCAAGTTAGTCCACGTATCCTTAAAACCACTTACAAATTCAATTGTTATCCGATTTTAAGGGTAAATATAACTAATGAGAAAATTTGTAATCTTAGCGTTGTCAATGGAAAATTACAAACTATTAATATATATATCAATTGGTTTTCTAGCTTATATGATTTATCTAGTTTTTACTTTACCTCAATGTTTAATTAGACATTTAGCGGCAAAACAGCTTTATTAGGAGTAGAATGACAAAGAAGTTGGTACGGCGGACATTACGAGGTTATTCTTTAGTGTTTAATTATGTAAAATTATTTAATGAAAGACATTGAATGTTTTCCACGAAAATGTATTTGTTTAGGTCTAAGTTAATTATTTTTCGGTGTTTAATTATAGAAAACATGTGAAATAAAATTGCTAATGTGGCTCGCTAACGTGCAGCACCCACCGGGAATGGGGGGCGGAAAGGCGTCGGAAATACGAACAACGCACTGACAATAGACATCAAGCTTACAGATGGACAAAATCTATGTAGCTAGGCATATGCATTGATTACATGGATTGTGCCATGTATGGCCTCAGTATTATAGTACTAGCAAATGATGGTAGCTGACTTTGAGATATTTACAAGCTTTAATATTGTACTAAGAGCACTGATCTATGACGTAAAAAATGTATTACTAGCATTTACACTCTCTTTCTCTTTACTACCTTTCCCTCCCTCTCCGTCACCAGCCTCATTATCATTCTCAATTGATTCATCATCAGAAACTTCACTTCCTTCGGCTGCAGTAGACTCATCATCATCATCAAGATCAATAACACCAACTGCATAAGGTCCGACCTGAAGAAACCAGAAAAACAATCGTTAGATACAAGATGCAATTAAGAATTGGAGAAAGATTTAACAAGTTTTGCATTTGGGAAGCACCATGGATTTCTTCCCATCAACCCATGTGACCTCGATGTTACCATCTTTGAGTCCAGTGACATTCCCCCAAGGGTAACAAGTATCACCCACTTTTTCTGGTACAGAAACAGGTGACAAACCAACAACAAAGTCTCCGTAGCCACAGCCAAACGCACTCAGTTGGTATACACTTACGACCTCCTCTTTTTCAAACTCTATGATGAGGTCCTTTAACCTTGTGTCTGGCTTCAACCATCTGACAATAGCTGTTTGTTCCTCCGCATTAACAGTTTTAACAACCCCAATACGACGTCTAACATCGTCAGCAGCTTTCTCTTTCACATAATCTTCAGGAAAAAAATCATTCTCTCCAGGGTTTTCAATTGGCAGCAAGGAGGCAGGTTCCAAATTTCTTTCTATTTTTCCATCCTGCCACTCAACATCAACATAAGTTCTAACATTAAAAATTCGAAGTTCCTTTTCTAATAACCTTTTCTTAACTAGATATTCCGCTAATCTATGACTGTTCCTTTTAAGCATCACATCCATCATCCTTTCTAAAGTCCATGGCCGTTTGTCTGGTTTTCTGGAAACTAACGATGATGATACTGCAGGAAGTGAAGGAACAAGACACCAGTCACCTATTTTCCAGTTTAAATGAGAGAAGCAAGTGAACTTTTTCAACTTCTTTGGGTCTTCTCGTACAGATGGTGGGTCTTGTCTTACAGATGGATCTCCAGCAGATGTAATCCAATCGACTAAAACAGAGCCAGCAGTAACTGCAACTATTGTACCAAACTTATCAGCTATCCTTGGATAAAACATATGATCTTTCCATGTTTTTACACGCTCACCTGTATAATAGTAGTGTAATCCACTATCTTCCTTGTTCAAACTATCTGGTGTAAGTGTGTAGGTGTTAGCCTCCTTAATTGTTCTCACAGTGTCATCGTCAAATCGAACACGAATATCATTGAGAACACGCCTGATCTTACCCAAGTAAGCCCCACAGAGCACATAGTCTCCAACTTGAAGTTCTCTCACCCTTTGCAATTTAATCGATGGCACGTTTCCGATAGGTCCGCTGCCATATCTTACCAAATCAACGTATTCCCTTATAGAAACCACCTGTCCTAATTGAACTTTTGGGTTAGAAGCTGAAGCGACAACATCGCCAAGTACAACTTCATTACCGCATACAAATTCTCGTCCAGCAACAACATCAGCAAGAATTTTACATTCTTCTGCTGTAATTGGATCGCACTTGTAGTCACCACAATCTTGATCTTGGCCAGATTCCATCTAAAAAGCACACAAAATAAAAGTATAAGAAGAAGCAATTCCTCGAACAGTTGGTTCATTTTTGAAATTTTGCTCCTTTTCTTTTGACAAGGAAAAAGTTACCTAATCCATAGAATGACTTTACCGAAAACAGTACATTTGCAAATTTCAAATTTTCAATGTTCATATTCTCAAGCCCCCACCTAACTTTCTATTAAAAAGAGAATTAACAGAGAAAAGATTCAAATACGAAAAAGGTTCCAATAACTTCCGAACAAGAAACAAGATACAAATGAACGAAAGATGACAATACCTTCGAGAGATGAAGACGCGAAGCTGGAGAGATGAAGACACGAAATCGGTCCAAATGCTATCTTCGTATTTTGATGTGTATGAGTCAAATCAGTCAAATTCTGAAGTTCGGAGCCAAAATGAAGTCTTGATTCCAAATTATATACATTGCAAGAAACAGTTTTTACATTGAAAGACACGTGGCAGGGCGTAATTGGATATGTTCTATCTGTGTATATTATTTTCTATTTGTAAACTCTAATTACTACGTAATTCCCATTTCCCATACTTTTTAACCGCTGAGGGAGGCAAATCAAAAAGAAAAAAAATAACAAATACCCATAAATCAACAATTAAACCACAAACTTTACCGCGTTTGTTCTCCCCTATTCGTATGAAATACCATAATTCGATAAAATACTATTAATTAATTAATTAGTATTTATACCTAGAATAAATGACTAAAATGTGAAACTATTTTTCGTTTCAAATTTGATTATATCAAAAAAATTATTTTTCAGTAGTCCATAAAATATGTGTTACTAATTACTATGAGAAATACTTGTTGCAATTATTTTTTTACGATTGAATAAAGTTATGCGACTCAAATAGATATAAGTTCATACATTTTTATTTCTGATAATCTCTATACGAGCAGAATAAAATGTGTCAGTAACTTTTTATGAATATTTTCTTTCTTTGGAGAAGTGAACAAGAATCAAGAAGAAAAAGAAGCCTAAATTTCGCGTGTTAAAAGAAATTAGAATTCAATCGGATTTTAGACTTAGGCCAATACGCAAAATATCAGAATACGATAAGTGACTTAAAAAGTACGTAACTCTAATTTGTTTGTCGAGATACTTCTTGCTGAAATTAGAATTTTAAAACTAAATTAATTAGCTAAAATATAATAATTTATGTAAAAAAATAATATTCATATGATTTTCTAAAATTTTACTCATTTATATTGGGTTGCACGTTGTTATGGGGTTGCACCAAGGGTCTGCGTTCAACCCATTCCTATTTGGCCTGGTGATGGATGCACTGACACATCATATTCAAGGGGAGGTGCCATACTGTATGTTATTTGCTGACGACATAGTTTTGATTGATGAGACGCGAGGCGGCGTCAACGAGAGGCTGGATGTTTGGAGACAGGCCCTTGAGTCTAAGGGTTTCAAGTTGAGAAGGACTAAGACGGAATATCTAGAGTGTAAGTTCAGCATCGAGCGGGCGGAAGCGGGATTGGACGTGAGGCTTGACTCTCAGGTCATACCCAAGATGGGCAGTTTCAAGTACCTTGGGTCTGTTATACAGGGGAATGGGAAGATCGGCGAGAATGTCACACACCGTATGGAGTCCTATATGACAAGAGTGTGCCACCAATACTCAAAGGTAAGTTTTATAGAGCGATGGTTAGACCTTCCATGTTGTATGAGGTTGAGTGTTGGCCAGTTAAGAACTCACATATCCAGAAGATGAAAGTAGTAGAGATGAGGATATTGAGGTAGATGTGCGGGCACACTAAGATGGATAAGATTAGGAATAAAGATATTCGGGAGAAGGTGAGTGTGCCCCCATAGATGACAAGCTGCGGGAAGCAAGGCTCAAATGGTTCGAGCACGTTTAGAGGAGAAGCCTAAAGGCCCCGGTGAGGAGGTGTGAGCGGCTGGCTTTAGTGGGTACGAGGAGAGGTAGAGGGCGGCCAAAGAAGTATTGGGGAGAGGTGATCAGGCAGGACATGGTATGACTTCAGATTACCGAGGACATAGCCCTAGACATAAAGTTGTGGAGGTCGAGCATTAAGGTAATATGTTAAGAGGTAGTTATGCATATTTCTACGGCGCTGCAGAGTGTGGCTAGTCTGTTAGGATTTAGCCTTAGACTGCTAGTAGTTAGTGTTGAGTTCTCTATACTCTTTCGTTCCTCTTAGTGTCGAGCTTTATCTACTGGTTACTGTTTTGTTTTCCATCTATTTCCTGGTTCTTGTGATGCTGGTTTTTTTCTATGGTTTTTATTGATGGTATTGATAGATTGCCTCTTTTCGTCTTCTTGAGCCGAGGGTCTTTTAGAAACAGCTTCTCTATCCCTTGGGGTCGGGGTAAGGTCTGCGTACACACTACCCTCACCAGAACCCACTAGTGAAATTTCACTAGGTCGTCATTGTTGTTGTATATTGGGTTGCACGCGTAACACGCGTTCATGGGTCAATTAGTTTTGTGACTCTTTAAAGCTTGTTTTTAGTTTTATGACCCTAATTCTTTTTTTTACATATGATAAATTTACTTTTAAACGTAAAAAATTTTTTTTTACACATAAAAAATCTAAAAATATCATTTTCTTAACATGATGTACTAATGGTACTACTTCCAAAGACTAGTTTTATTATAAAGTGTGAAAACTTCAGCTTTATTACGAAGCAGAGGAACAACAGATTTCTGTACTTACGTGAAATTAGGGGTATACAAATGAAACCACCAAATCGCACCAACTCGATAATTCGAGTCAAATCGAGAAAAAAAATTTGACTATGATTTGGTTTGATTTGGTTTGGTGTTGGAAAGAAAAACCCGACTATATTTGGTTTGGTTTGATTTTAACTAAAAAATTTCAAACCGAAATCAAACCGACCCGATATTATATGTATAGAAGTTTTAAATATATTTAATACATAAAAATATTTATTGTAGTGTATTTTATAAATATTTCTTAAGCTTTTTCATAATTTTATCTTTTAACGTATTATTTCAAAGCGTGGACTTATAATTTTTGGATGCTCCAATTAGATTTTTAGTCCATAAATGTTAGTAACTCAAATTAATCCTAAAACAAAATCAAATCAATACTAATGCTAAGAAAAGACATTCAATTCAATTGTACTATGAATGAAAATAGTGTTGGATATTTATTGTTTTTAGTTTTTCCATGGTTTAGATAAAATGTATAACTTATTTTTCTTTTAGTGGTTAGTCATGTAAATAGTAGTACTTATTAGTCGTAATTTTAAATTATATTTGTTTTTATTATGGCTTATTAATATTATTTTTTATGTGATTTTATTATCTTTATTGTTGAATATTTTAGTACAATGACATGACTCATATCATATTTATGTTATTTTATTGAAAAACATCTTATATAGTTCTGTTTTACTAGAATTAAAGAAATATTTGGAGCACAAATTTTACGTTTTGTGCTATGAAGACTTTATGGAAAAAAAATCGAAAAAATCCGAAAACCCGAAAAAAATAGGATTAAAAAATCCGACTTTTATTGGTTTGGTATGGTATTTAGATTTAATAACCCGATACAATTAGTTTGGTTTGGTAATTAGAAAATTCGAACCAACCCGACCTATGTATACCCCTGCATGGAACCTATCAACTTCATTTGAACCGAATAGCCAGCCTTAAAATCCAATATCACAAATATGTTGCTGCAAATTTCATATATTGCAACGAAGATGCACAACAAAATTCATGACTAAAACAATAATACATGACATTGAAATGCAGAAATATGAATTACGCATTCTATACCATAACAGTGAAATAATTTTATAACAAAGTGTAGAGACTTCAATTTTAATAGTATAAATTAAAGGAACAATTTACTGTATTTACACAGGATCGATCTAGAGATACAATTAATTGTTACTTTCTTAATTGTTACTTTCTTTGCCTATTAGGCGGGGGTATAATACTGTTATATATATAAAATAATATATATGTATTATTTAATAATAATATTTATTTTTTAAAAAAAGGAAAAAAATTCTATCTTAAATTTGAATTCAACCGTTGCCTTCCGTGAAACTAACTGATATGTTTTTCTATGAATAACTAACTCTTTATTAACTGTATGATTAAATTTAAACGAAGCACCCATTGGCAAAGGTCATAAACCTTGTCTATATAAATGGTATTCTGAAGTCTTAAACAATTTTTAAGCAATCTTATATCCAACATCTCTCTGTCTATTATTAGATCTATTTATATACATCAAATCTTCGTTAATTACTTTCTTCCAAATCCTTCATTCTTTTGGGTTGAGTTCTTGTGGTTGGGAAATCAAAGAGTGCAACTTTGATTTCTAGAGTAGGCATTGTATCCTGGGGGATAGATTTTCCTTTAACCATTTGCACCGTGTGAAGAAAATTCCTAAAGATAGTTTCCTGGAAACGCCTTGTCTACTCGTTTCAGATTTCTTATTAGATTATCTTTCTTGAGTTTACTCCATTAGTTTCAATATATTTATATAACAATTTTAGGATAGTAATATTCCGATTCAATGGACTCTTCTTTGTCGCAAACAATTTCAAGATGTGGAGAGGCTTGAAAAGTTCAACGGGATGAACTACAAGCATTGGAGTATGAAGATGATGTATCAATTGACGATTGCGAAAGTCTACTATGTCTTGACTTGTTCATATCCACAAGACGGAAAAGCAGATGGGCAGCTTTCGGACTCACAGCAAAAATGGCTTGAAGATGATTTTGTGTGCTGCTCAATGATCCTGAATGCAATGAGTAATGCTCTCTTCAATGTGTTTCACAAATGCTACCCTGCATATGAGTTGTGGGCTGCCATCTAACGAAGGTATGTAACAGAAGATGCTGGAAATAGATCCTTCTTAATTAATGGATGATTCCAAACATGTTATTGATCAAGTAAATGAATTAAATGAAATTGCCTCTCAATGTGCTGATGTGGGTGAGCCAATTATGGAGACTTTTCAAGTTTCTACTATTATTGGTAAACTTTCTCCTTCTTGGAAAGATTACGAGATGAAATTAAAGCACAAAACTATGTCTCTGAATTTGGATCAATTACTTCATCATTTCTCAATGGTGAGTTAGATGAAAAAATTTGCATTCAACAACCTGAAGGTTATGTAGTGAGTGGAGAAGAACACAAGGTATATAAACTCAACAAATCTTTATATGGTCTTAAACAAGCACCTACACAATGGTATGAAAAATTTAAGGACATAAGATCTATTGGCTTTATATATAGTAAAGCAGAAAATTATATTTTTTTATAAATGCAATGGCGATCATAAAGTTCTTATTACTTTATATGTTGCGACTTACTTATATTTGGTTCTAACATAGCATGTGTTAATGAAACCAA